TGCACACGCTCACATCACACTCCTTACACTGCACACACTCCTTACACTGCACACGCTCACATCACACTCCTTACACTGCACACACTCCTCACACTGCACACGCTCACATCACACTCCTTACACTGCACACACTCCTCACACTGCACACGCTCACATCACACTCCTTACACTGCACACACTCCTCACACTGCACACGCTCACATCACACTCCTTACACTGCACACACTCCTCACACTGCACACGCTCACATCACACTCCTCACACTGCACACGCTCACATCACACTCATTACACTGCACACACTCCTCACACTGCACACGCTCACATCACACTCCTTACACTGCACACACTCCTTACACTGCACACGCTCACATCACACTCCTTACACTGCACACACTCCTCACACTGCACACGCTCACATCACACTCCTTACACTGCACACACTCCTCACACTGCACACGCTCACATCACACTCCTTACACTGCACACACTCCTTACACTGCACACGCTCACATCACACTCCTTACACTGCACACACTCCTTACACTGCACACGCTCACATCACACTCCTTACACTGCACACACTCCTCACACTGCACACGCTCACATCACACTCCTTACACTGCACACACTCCTCACACTGCACACGCTCACATCACACTCCTTACACTGCACACACTCCTCACACTGCACACGCTCACATCACACTCCTTACACTGCACACACTCCTCACACTGCACACGCTCACATCACACTCCTCACACTGCACACGCTCACATCACACTCCTTACACTGCACACACTCCTCACACTGCACACGCTCACATCACACTCCTTACACTGCACACACTCCTTACACTGCACACGCTCACATCACACTCCTTACACTGCACACACTCCTCACACTGCACACGCTCACATCACACTCCTTACACTGCACACACTCCTCACACTGCACACGCTCACATCACACTCCTTACACTGCACACACTCCTTACACTGCACACGCTCACATCACACTCCTTACACTGCACACACTCCTCACACTGCACACGCTCACATCACACTCCTTACACTGCACACACTCCTTACACTGCACACGCACACATCACACTCCTTACACTGCACACACTCCTCACACTGCACACGCTCACATCACACTCCTTACACTGCACACACTCCTCACACTGCACACGCTCACATCACACTCCTCACACTGCACACACTCCTCACACTGCACACGCTCACATCACACTCCTTACACTGCACACACTCCTCACACTGCACACGCTCACATCACACTCCTCACACTGCACACACTCCTCACACTGCACACGCTCACATCACACTCCTTACACTGCACACACTCCTCACACTGCACACGCTCACATTACGCTCCTCACACTGCACACCCTTACATCACACTCCTTACACTGCACACACTCCTCACACTGCACACGCTCACATCACACTCCTCACACTGCACACACTCACATTACGCTCCTCACACTGCACACCCTTACATCACACTCCTCTCACTGCACACGCTCCTCACACTGCACACGCTTACATCACACTCCTCACACTGCACACGCTCCTCACACTGCACACGCTCACATCACACTCCTCACACTGCACACGCTCCTCACACTGCACACGCTCACATCACACTCCTCACACTGCACACACTCCTCACACTGCACACGCTCACATCACACTCCTCACACTGCACACGCTCCTCACACTGCACACGCTCACATCACACTCCTCACACTGCACACACTCACATTACGCTCCTCACACTGCACACCCTTACATCACACTCCTCTCACTGCACACGCTCCTCACACTGCACACGCTCACATCACACTCCTCACACTGCACACGCTCACATCACACTCCTCACACTGCACACACTCACATTACGCTCCTCACACTGCACACCCTTACATCACACTCCTCACACTGCACACACTCCTCACACTGCACACGCTCACATCACACTCCTCACACTGCACACGCTCACATCACACTCCTCACACTGCACACACTCACATTACGCTCCTCACACTGCACACCCTTACATCACACTCCTCACACTCCTCACACTGCACACGCTCACATCACACTCCTCACACTGCACACGCTCCTCACACTGCACACGCTCACATCACACTCCTCACACTGCACACGCTCCTCACACTGCACACGCTCACATCACACTCCTCACACTGCACACGCTCCTCACACTGCACACGCTCACATCACACTCCTCACACTGCACACATTTCTCACACTGCACACGCTCACATCACACTCCTCACACTGCACACGCTCCTCACACTGCACACGCTCACATCACACTCCTCACACTGCACACGCTCCTCACACTGCACACGCTCACATCACACTCCTCACACTGCACACGCTCCTCACACTGCACACGCTCACATCACACTCCTCACACTGCACACGCTCACATCACACTCCTTACACTGCACACGCTCACATCACACTCCTCACACTGCACACGCTCACATCACACTCCTTACACTGCACACGCTCACATCACGCTCCTCACACTGCACACGCTCCTCACACTGCACACGCTCACATCACACTCCTCACACTGCACACACTCACATCACACTCCTTACACTGCACACACTCACATCACGCTCCTCACACTGCACACGCTCCTCACACTGCACACGCTCACATCACACTCCTTACACTGCACACACTCCTCACACTGCACACGCTCACATCACACTCCTCACACTGCACACACTCACATCACACTCCTTACACTGCACACGCTCACATCACGCTCCTCACACTGCACACGCTCCTCACACTGCACACGCTCACATCACACTCCTCACACTGCACACACTCACATCACACTCCTTACACTGCACACACTCACATCACGCTCCTCACACTGCACACGCTCCTCACACTGCACACGCTCACATCACACTCCTTACACTGCACACACTCCTCACACTGCACACGCTCACATCACACTCCTCACACTGCACACACTCACATTACGCTCCTCACACTGCACACGCTCCTCACACTGCACACGCTCACATCACACTCCTTACACTGCACACACTCCTCACACTGCACACGCTCACATCACACTCCTTACACTGCACACACTCCTTACACTGCACACGCTCACATCACACTCCTCACACTGCACACGCTCCTCACACTGCACACGCTCACATCACACTCCTCACACTGCACACGCTCACATCACACTCCTTACACTGCACACGCTCACATCACACTCCTCACACTGCACACGCTCCTCACACTGCACACGCTCACATCACACTCCTCACACTGCACACGCTCCTCACACTGCACACGCTCACATCACACTCCTCACACTGCACAGGCTCCTCACACTGCACACGCTCACATCACACTCCTCACACTGCACACGTTCCTCACACTGCACACGCTCACATCACACTCCTCACACTGCACACGCTCACATCACACTCCTCACACTACACACGCTCACATCACACTCCTTACACTGCACACACTCCTTACACTGCACACGCTCACATCACACTCCTTACACTGCACACACTCCTCACACTGCACACGCTCACATCACACTCCTTACACTGCACACACTCCTCACACTGCACACGCTCACATCACACTCCTCACACTGCACACACTCCTCACACTGCACACGCTCACATCACACTCCTTACACTGCACACACTCCTCACACTGCACACGCTCACATCACACTCCTCACACTGCACACACTCACATTACGCTCCTCACACTGCACACCTTTACATCACACTCCTCTCACCGCACACGCTCCTCACACTGCACACGCTCACATCACACTCCTCACACTGCACACGCTCACATCACACTCCTCACACTGCACACGCTCCTCACACTGCACCCGCTCACATCACACTCCTCACACTGCACACACTCACATTACGCTCCTCACACTGCACACGCTCACATCACACTCCTCTCACTGCACACGCTCCTCACACTGCACACGCTCACATCACACTCCTCACACTGCACACGCTCCTCACACTGCACACGCTCACATCACACTCCTCACACTGCACACGCTCCTCACACTGCACACGCTCACATCACACTCCTTACACTGCACACACTCCTTACACTGCACACGCTCACATCACACTCCTCACACTACACACGCTCACATCACACTCCTCACACTGCACACGCTCCTCACACTGCACCCGCTCACATCACACTCCTCACACTGCACACACTCACATTACGCTCCTCACACTGCACACCCTTACATCACACTCCTCTCACTGCACACGCTCCTCACACTGCACACGCTCACATCACACTCCTCACACTGCACACGCTCCTCACACTGCACACGCTCACATCACACTCCTCACACTGCACACGCTCACATCACACTCCTCACACTGCACACACTCACATTACGCTCCTCACACTGCACACGCTCACATCACACTCCTCTCACTGCACACGCTCCTCACACTGCACACGCTCACATCACACTCCTCACACTGCACACGCTCCTCACACTGCACACGCTCACATCACACTCCTCACACTGCACACGCTCCTCACACTGCACACGCTCACATCACACTCCTTACACTGCACACACTCCTTACACTGCACACGCTCACATCACACTCCTCACACTACACACGCTCACATCACACTCCTCACACTGCACACGCTCCTCACACTGCACCCGCTCACATCACACTCCTCACACTGCACACACTCACATTACGCTCCTCACACTGCACACCCTTACATCACACTCCTCTCACTGCACACGCTCCTCACACTGCACACGCTCACATCACACTCCTTACACTGCACACACTCCTTACACTGCACACACTCCTCACGCTTCTCACACTGCAACGCTCACATCACGCTTCTCACTGCATGTGTGTGTGTGTCTCTGCAGACAGCAGCGCAGCAGGAGGACGCTTAACATCTCTAAAGAACGAGAAGAAGAAATCAGAAAGATTCTGCGAGCAAACCTGCAGAAGACGCGACAGAGAGTGAGACACACGACATATTGATTGCATGTGTTCAGCCAGTGTGAATGTTCTGTGTAGAATACCTGGGTGACATGGTACAAGTGTCAGGTAGGCTGCTGTATCCCATAATGCAATGCACTCAACCTTGAAGCGGCAGTAATTTCAACATCATCTTGACTCATTTTTTGGTCAGAATGACAATTTTTGTTTACAAATTTACGCTAGATTTAGATAATTTTTATGACAAATTATTGTGCATTTGTGTTACTAAAGCTCTCGCTGAATTAAACATGCATTATGAGGTCGCCTGTATCATTTTGTTTGAAATGTTTATGCTTGTATAATGTGTTTTACACTATTTTTTCTAAAGAAGCAGCAGGTTATTAAGTGTGTACTGCACTGTGTGAGTTCAGCAGTGTGCTAGGATTCTATTTTTTTTTTTTTTTTTTTTTTTGCAAATTAACAAAGGAATAATACATACAAGGTAGTGAGACACATATACAATACATAAGAGAGAAAAAGCACAAAAACAAAACAAAAACAACGAAATACAAAACAGCCCAGTACAGTCATCGATAAAGTGGTGTATGTAGGGACATGAGATCCTTTCTGTGTGCTAGGATTCTGTGCTTCAGTGCTTGAAAATGCAGCCCACATTTATTCAGATGTAAGCACTGAGATGTGTGTGTCTCTTGCTCAGTTCACTTTAGACTTATTTACTGGATTGTGTAAGTAACTCGTGTGTGTGTGTGTGTGTGTGTGTGTGTGTGTGTGGTTAGCTGCGCTCATACAGCAGACACACACTGATGCCTGATGCTGCAGAAGACGACTGGAGCGAGACACGGATCAGGAAACAGTGCGTGGAAATAGAGCGGCGGGTGAGTAAGAAAAGAAAGAAAGAAAGTTATGCTTTAATTTATTTGTTTGTATTTAAACGCTCAAGCCAAAGGAAAAGCCAGTAATTTAAGGTGTCACTTTTACAGATGAGCCACTTTCTGGCGGTTCCTGCGAATCGCTCCGAGTCTCCTGCAGTGCGGAGAGGCCGCTTTGAGTCAGGTGACCTTCTCAGGTGTTTCCAAGGTCACTCGAGTCAGGTGACCTTCTCAGGTGTTTCCAAGGTCACTCGAGTCAGGTGACCTTCTCAGGTGTTTCCAAGGTCACTCGAGTCAGGTGACCTTCTCAGGTGTTTCCAAGGTCACTCAAGTCTGGTGACCTTCTCAGGTGTTTCCAGGGTCACTCGAGTCAGGTGACCTTCTCAGGTGTTTCCAAGGTCACTCCTTCTCAGGAGTTTCCAGGGTCATTCGAGTCAGGTGACCTTCTCAGGTGTTTCCAGGGTCACTCGAGTCAGGTGACCTTCTCAGGTGTTTCTAAGGTCACTCGAGTCATATGACCTGTTCAAGTGTTTCCAGGGTCACCTGAGTCAGGTGACCTTCTCAGGTGTTTCCAAGGTCACTCAAGTCAGGTGACCTTCTCAGGTGTTTCCAGGGTCATTCGAGTCAGGTGACCACCTCAGGTGTTTCCAAGGTCACTCGAGTCATATGACCTGTTCAAGTGTTTCCAGGGTCACCTGAGTCAGGTGACCTTCTCAGGTGTTTCCAAGGTCACTCAAGTCATATGACCTGTTCAAGTGTTTCCAGGGTCACCTGAGTCAGGTGACCTTCTCAGGTGTTTCCAAGGTCACTCAAGTCATATGACCTGTTCAAGTGTTTCCAGGGTCACCTGAGTCAGGTGACCTTCTCAGGTGTTTCCAAGGTCACTCAAGTCATATGACCTGTTCAAGTGTTTCCAGGGTCACCTGAGTCAGGAGACCTTCTCAGGTGTTTCCAAGGTCATTCAGTAACAGAATGTGACATGATGTGTTTGAAATGTTGTCTTCCAGACAGTCGAGGTCAGACGGCCAGGCCGAGTATCCTAGTGTCGGTCCCCGGAGACCCTGAGAAGTCCGACGGATCCGCTCAGACCCAGAACCCGGACGGTGTGCAGGACAGCCGAGGACACAAGCTGAGCGTGACGTTTGCTCTGGGTGTGCAGGAGCAGAACCTGCCTCGGTGTTTGAGTGATCCGGGTCCACATAACCTGCTGGAGGAGGAAGAGCTGTTTTATCATAAAGACTGAGGATCCTTGTTTGTTTGTATTTTATATGCATTTTATGCAGTGGAAAATTATTAAACTATTCTTTCTAGTGATCTGAGTGCATATGTCAAACGTCTCATGCTTGTCCTGTTTTTGGCCATGTCCACCTGGTATTATCCTGCGTTTTACATGCGTATCCCATGACTCGTGTTCAGATCTTCAGGTTAGGTTAGGTTATTTTAGCTAAGTTCGCTGTCCTGAAGAGTTTGGCTCCAACCCTGAACCAACCCAGTCTAACACTTGATGGCTGCTCTGTTAAGTCTTCGTCGTCACCTGGGTGTGCTCTTTGATACCAATCTTTCATTTGAAAGTATCTAGTATCTGTAAAACCGCATTTTTCCATCTTAAAAATATATCTAAATTACACCATATGCTCTCATTGACGAATGCGGAACAGTAAGTTCATGCGTTCATGACCTCAAGGCTAGATTACTGTAATGCTCTACTGGGTGGTTGCCCTGCACGCTTAATAAACAAACTACAGCTGGTCCAAAACGCCGCAGCTCGAGTTCTTACCAGAACCAGGAGGTATGACCATATTAGCCCGGTTCTGTCAACACTGCATTGGCTCCCTATTAAACATCGTATACAATTTAAAATCTTGCTGATTACCTACAAAGCACTAAATGGTTTAGCTCCCAGTACTTGAGCGAGCTCTTAACGCATTATAGTCCTTCACGTCTATTGCGATCTCAAAACTCCGGCCAGTTGATAATACCTAGAATATCTAAATCGACTGCAGGCGGTAGATCCTTTTCCTATTTAGCACCAAAACTCTGGAACAGTCTTCCTACCATTGTCCGGGAAGCAGACACACTGTCAGTTCAAAGCTAGACTAAAAACACATCTCTTTGGCCTAGCATACACATACTACATTATAGACTTCAATGTTAGGCTGCATAGAATAGGTCAGTCGGAACCGGGAACACTTCCCATAAATCCAGATGTACTCGTTACATCATAAGAAGAATGGCATCTACGCTAATATTAGTCTCTCTGTTTATCCCGAGGTTTACCACAGTCCGCCGGATCCAGGCCGTATCCAGATCTGACGAAGGACCAGCGCCCGGACACACACACACACACACACACACACACACACACACACACACACACACACACACACACTCACTCCCTCCAGATCTGATGAAGGACCTGCGTCTGGACTCACACACACACACACACACACACACACACTCCAGATCTGATGAAGGACCTGCGTCTGGACTCACACACACACACACACACACACACACACACACACACACACACTCCAGATCTCATGAAGGACCTGCGCCTGGACACACACACACACTCACTCCCTCCAGATCTGATGAAGGACCTGCGTCTGGACTCACACACACACACACACACTCCAGATCTGATGAAGGACCAGCGCCTGGACGCGATGACACCGCAGTCCTGAAGTGTAGTCTCTCCCTGTGAAGGCCTCCTCCTTCTCCTCTGTACAGATCATCGTTGTCGGGATAATGCCGGTTCGAGTGGCTACGCCGAAGCAATAAAATTCTGTATTATAAATTTTAAGGCCAGACGAGTAGTTTGTTGAGGGTTGGTTTTTTAGGGAAGGACTACATGCCTGCACACATATATTCAAACGCGCACACCTATAGAATGAACTCTTAATACGCATGTGCTCGCTATCAGCGTTCTCACAGGTTCACGTTTTTAAAGTTTGCGTAGAGAGAACTTAAGAGTTTTCTGTTAAAACAGTGTCGTGTTAGCGGCCGCTAAGTTAATAATGATCGTTGCAATGGAAGTGAATCAATCAAAACTAACTTTAGCTGGAAAATAACTTTATTCTAGATCTGCTGTAAAACCGAAACAATTTGTTACTTTAATTTCCTATTATCACTGTAAAGTACGGTGGCCGAGACAGCTCAACGCGCTGCAACTGAAGCAAACACATGCAAATAGAAAAAAACACATGCAAATAGAAAAAAACACATGCAAATAAAAAAAACATCTTCATCAGTTTCACAACACACGTGAGCTCCAAATACAGAAACGCGCTGCAAATAACACAGACCACAACGGAAATGTTTCCAGGGGAACCAAATAAGTGACAAACCCGGCTGGGACGTGCTTATTGCTCGTGAGCCCTACTCCCTTCGAAGGGCAGATTGCAGAGCCCTTAAAGTGGGCCTGTGGAGGGAGCAGGGCTCTAGTGTGCTGTTATAGCCGTGTGGAGCGCACTTGATGAAGGAGCAACGAAAGACAACGTAATTTCCTCGTTATTTTCACCTGGGATGTTCCCATGACAACGCAGCACGGCGTCCATCAGCTGGTCTTACAGAAATATGATGCTGTTAACATAACGGATGCAAATACATTTTTATTTTTACTTTACAAAAAAGCTTTTAAAATATGCGTTATATATCTGTGTGTCTCAACTTTAAAATTTTGGACCCTACATTACCTAACATTTCTTACGAAACTTTTCTTTATGAAAATGTAAACATAACGAAACAATTTGTACAGCGTAACTGATGTATAGATAAATATCTTTCCTTCATGTTCTTCTTCTTTATCTTTTTTATTTATTTAGTTTCCAGCTCATTGTTCTTTTCTCATTTGTGTTCTGATGACATTGAACATATTGTTAATACATTTTGTACATTGTATACAAGTTGTATGTCATAAAAAAATTTAATCTCTGTATGTTTTGCACAAATAAATAAAGAAGAATTTTAAGCTGTAAGCACCAGCACGCATAGATGTGGTCTGTGTTATTTGCAGCGTGTTTCTGTATTTGGTGGTGTTGTGAGTATTTGGAGCTCACGTGTGTTGAGAAGAGTGCTAATTCTGATGAGGTTAAAGCAGCTGTATTGAAGGCATATGAGCTGGTTCCTGAAGCTTACCGCCAGCGCTTTCGAAGTTGTGCCAGATTTGCTCACGACACTTATGTTGAGTTTGCAAAGCAGAAGGAGAATCTGTTTGATCGGTGGTGTACGTCTCAGAAGGTGGAAAGTAAGGAACATCTTAGGCAACTCATTTTGCTTGAAGAATTTAAAAACTGTCTGCCTGATGTAGTGTCTGTTTATTTGAATGAGCAGAAAGCAGTGACCTTAGAACAAGCTGCAATCTTGGCCGATGAGTGTGTCTTAACACATAAGGTACATTTTGGTGACAATCAAGCTGAGGATCTGGTCCAGATTAGGCACAATAGGTCTCGGTTTGGAAAGTCTGTGCCTTTTGCCTCATCACCTGCCAATAAAATGACTAATGATGGTTTGATTTCAGAAAGGGCTTGTTTTTATTGTAGGACACCAGGCCATCTTATTGCAGATTGTCCTGTTCTAAGTAAAAAACAGAAATCTGCAAAGACTGTAGCATTTGTAAGTCCTGTGCCAAGCCTTCCTCTGGCATCTTCAGTTGTTGTTGTGTCATGCAAGACAGGGGAGTTAGCTGGCTCATCATCATTTCTGATGGATGGTTCTGTGTATCTGTCTTCTGACCCTGAACACAGGCAAGCTATTAAGATCTGGAGAGATACAGGAGCTTTTCAATCTGTGAATTTACGTGATGTCTTGCCCTTCAATGAAAAGTCAGCTCAAGGTTCAGGGGTAATTGTTAAAGGTTTTGGTGGAGGATTTTTGTCTATGCCTTTACATAGCATTAATCTCCAATCAGATTTAATCTCTGGGAATGTTGTTGTTGCACTTTGTTCCCAGATCCCCATAGATGGTGTGTCCTTTATTCTGGGGAATGATTTAGCTGGTGGGAAAGTGCTAGCTGTCCCTGAAGTAAGCTCTACTGTCCTCAAGTCAGATGGTCCAGATGAACTTGAATTGGCATTTCCAGAAACTTTTCCTGTTTGTGAAACTACTCGTGCCATGTCGGCTAAGAGGCAAGCTGAAGACCAATCTTCCAGCAGGCAATCGGTGATGCCACTTTATGATACTTTTATAATGGGAAAATTTATTTTTATTATCAGTTTCCACTGAAACTGTTTTCAACACTGATAATAATCATAAATGTTTCTTGAGCATCAGATCCTCCAATTAGAGTGATTTCTGAAGGATCATGTGACACTGAAGACTGGAGTAATGATGCTGATCACAGGAATAAATTACACTTTACTGTATGTTCACATAGAGAACAGCTGATTTACACTGGAGTAATATTACACTGTTTACTGTATTTTTGATCTAATAAATGCAGTTTTGTTGAGCAGAAGAGACTCTTTCACAAACAGTAAATATCTTACAGACCCCAAACTTTTATTTAAATTCAATGTAACAGACTGACATCGACTTTGGCTTTGAGGAATATGGATAGACGTGTGTTTTATAGGAGTTTCTGGACATATATGCTTTATTTCATAATAACTGGCATGTTTGATCTTTAATGTGCATGTAAAGCCCAGAGAGACTAATTTAAGACTCAAACATGAAGCTCCTGAGACATAAACCATCACAAACAGACTCACACATGATCATCAGGATCATATCTCAGATCTACAGTCACAGAAAGGGATCATGGACTTCAGTGGAAGCTGGAAACTGTGTGAACAGGAGAACCCAGAGGCGTTTCTCAGAGCCATATGTGAGTTTGACATATAACCCTCATTTAATACATTCGCTCTCAGTATGTCAGTCTTCTGTTTTTCTTTTAATTTGAACTTTTCTAAAGTTGTTGTTGTTCGTAATGAAAGTGCGGTGCGACGTGTTTTTATGAGCGCAGCGGCTCCGGAGATTTACATTAAAATGATGAAAGAAGTGAAACCTCTGACAACGATCGAGCAGAAGGGAGAGGAGTTCAGCATCTGTGTGAAGACGGCCCTCAGGAGCCACAGCAACACCTTCACCATCGGCACTGAGAGCGACTTCAACACCATGGACGGCAAGAAGATCAAGGTCAGTCCGTTCTACAGTCGCTAGGACACATTTAGCAAAACTCTTCATTCATGTCTGAGATCAAGTCATTCTCCCTGAAAAAGAGAATGTAAACGTGTGGATTGGCCAGTGTGTGTAGAGTTTGCTGGTGTTTGTGTCCGAGTGCGAGATGAATTGATGTACATGTATTTATTGAATGTATTTTGTGCCGAAACTATGATAAATGATCCTCAGTTTATCCCACATAGACTGATGTTGTGATCGCTGTTTGATAAAGTGACTTTAGTGTCGAGAAACGAGTCCGAATGACTGAGAAACTGTTTTATTTAAGCAAACAGTAATTGGAAGAAAAAGTAGTTAATTAGTCTGTAGAGAGTCTGGAGTCTGTGGTTACCTAGCAACAACTGGCCTGCGTCACCCCTGTGTGTGTGTGTGTGTGTGTGTGTGTGTGTGTGTGTGTGTGCTTGAGTGAGAGTGTGTTTGTGTGTGTGTGTGCTTGAGTGTGAGTGTGAATGTGTGAGTGTGTGTGTGAGTGTGAGTGTGAGTGTGAATATGTGTGTGTGTGTGTGTGTGTGTGTATGTGTGTGTGCACAGATATAATACAGACACTGTATGTGTTCATATATTCATAAGTCATCTATTTTGCAGTCATATTAAGCACTTCATCAGATTTGATTAGTTGTTCTTGTGGTTTCAGGCAACAGCTCGACTCATCGATGGAAAGATCGTGATTGAATCGGATAAATTCACACACGTGAGAGAGATCCAGGGCGAGGAGATGATCGAGGTCAGAAGAGAATCATGTACTCCTGTATTTCAGCACAGAGTTAGTTGGTGTCATCTCTCTTTCTCTCTGGTTTCAGACACTCACCGCTGGAAGTGCGACTCTCGTCCGGAGAAGCCGCCGCGTTTAACCCAACCGGATGAACTTCACTATTGGATTCTAAACTTTCCACAGTTTAACCTTTTTACTGTCTGTTTTGAGAAAATTATTATTATTATATTATTATTTTAAAACCCTTATTCTTGTGATTGAAATAAACAAGTTTTTGTGCTTTGTCTTCATTCTGACCTTTGATGAAAAAAATGATTGACCTCAACCCGTTTGTTATTAAAATATATTGTGTAAAAATGTGTGATTCAAAGACATAAACTGGGTTCCTGTTAATAAACTGAGGGATGATCAGAGTCACGCTTTCTGTTTTTATCTTTCATCCAAACTGTGGCTTGCAGTTAGTTGAGAAAACTGCTAAAGGGTTAAACATATTTTCAATCTTTAGTCTTATATAAACTTTTGTAGTCACAAGTCTTCAAATGGACAGTATAGGGGACAGTTTGATGATTGAACTGTTGTCCTGCTTTATTACTGTATATATATTCATAAATAGAGGATGTAGGTTTTGATTTGATTTGATTTGATTTATTCGACAGTAAAAAAATAACAATAAATGCATAACAAGATGCCATTACAATGACACTACACATTTATCAGAGCTGTCAAGGATAGCACAAGAAAGTTACAAAACTTATTTCCATTGTGGTCCTCGTTGTAGTCCGATAAAGATGGCAAGCAAGCCACAGATAACAATAGAGCACCTTGTACACTCAAACACACAAATACATACACATCAGTAATAAATATTCCTTAAGACTACATAAAAACTAAATCTGATTAGCTTTTTGCAACCATTCACCACATGCTTGCTTAAAGCAGCGATCTGACTGGCTTAACTTAATCTCAACTGGGAGTTTGTTCCATTCAATTGCTGCCATGTACAAAAAGGTGTTTTGCCCAGAACAACTCTTAAATCTACAAGGTACTATGTCTGTGGCACTGCTTCTAGTTGAGTAGCTATGAGAGTTCCTAATAAACTTAAAATAATCTTTAAAATACCTTGGCTCATTCCTATGCAAAATCTTTCTTGTTAATCTCAGTTTCAGCTGTCTCACCCTATTTTCGACTGACAACCACTTTAAATTCTTAAGTTCAAAAGAACCAACATGTTTCCTATTATTAATGTTTAAAATCAACCTAACTCATTTATTTTGTGCTGTTTGGAGTTGTACTTTTATCCTCTTGGGGGTACTACTGTACATAGGCGGAGTTTCACTTTTGTGCGTGGGGGGGCACCTACCGGCAGACCACGAGCTCAGATTTTTTTTATATGGGCTACCATATTTAAAATGTATATATCATACCATTTACATTTAAAATACATTTACAATGAACAAGGACTGCTATACTAAGAATAGCGTTAAAAACATATCTTACCTAATGCAGAAGAAGCCGCCTCTTTTTCCGCGTTGCATAGATGTCCACTATCTTTTCTTCTGATAAATTTGCAGTCAAGTCGTTCTCTATATGCAGTAGGGAAAGATTCGAGAATCTGTCCTGAGCCATTGCAGATCGGAGCCAGTTTCTGATTCTTCTCATAACTGAGAAACTTCTTTCTGACGTAGCAGAGCCAACTGGCAGTGTGAGTGCAAGCTGCAGCAGACGGTAAAAGTTTGGATATCTATCCTTCCGTACTTCATCTTGAAGTTTTTTTAGGGTGATCGGCGATGCGATTGCACACTTCACAAGATCCATTTCAGCTGCCACAAGCTGAGGGTGAATCTTAAAGCGGCTCGCATACATGCTTAGTAAAGGACCGATGCCGTTCTTGTCACAATTTAATACACCATCACATGCCACACTCAGGGTCATTGCTTCAGTGGAAAATCGCCTGTCCAATTCAGCCAGCATAGTGTCTAAAACAGGGAGATACAAATGACATTTAAATGTCTGTGATTCTGATCCCCATTGCGTCTCATTTTCATCACGCTGTCCAAGTGTGGTTGGTACCAAGTACTGCGAAAGCCCGGGAGGTTGTCGCGAAGTTCTTTTTCGTTTTCCTGCAGTTTGGGGGGCACTCTCTGCACAAAAACCAGCGACATCTTCACAAAACGTTTTCACCTGCTTCCACATTGCCTCCCAGGAACTCTCCTCTCTGCAGCGCTGGAGATGTGTTATCAGACTATTGACTGCTGAGGCCGCATCAGCCATGGTTGTACTTGCACCTTGCAGACGTTTGTGTGTTACATGTACAACTCTGAGAACTTCCTCAAGAACAATTAAGGACGTAATGAATCGGAGACTTGTCATGTGATTATACAACCCACTTGCATCCACAGACCACTTTTCTCCCTCTTCTTCCATCTCTTTCAAACAGCGAGTGATGGCAGCATATTGTGATTTGACAGCATAAACACACCTATATTTGCAAGCCCATCGTGTATCACTTTGCTGTACTAGCTCTTTTGGTTTAAGAGCCAGTGTTTTCTGCATCATGAGAAATCTGCAATGGTTGCTTGGCTCTGCAAACAAGGAGTATAGTTTGTCAATGACATTTAGACACGTTTTAATGTCTCTGTTCACTGTGCATGATTCAACGAGTACGAGATTTAGTTTATGTGCCATGCAATGCACATACACAGCAAAGGGGAATTCCTCTCTGATCCGTTGCTGAACTCCACTCAAATGCCCCGACATTACAGCGGCTCCATCATATGCCTGAGCAATTATGGGAATGTCCTTCAGCCCACACGACTGCAATCCTTCTATAATGCCAGAAACAATCCCTGCAGCATCGCGAGAATTGGAACAGTCAACAAAGCAAATAAATCGCTCCTTGATCTGAAGTCCCTCTGTGTATCTAATGCAAACAGAAAGTTGCTCAGTCTTTGATGACTTTGCTTCATCAGCAATAACAGCAAGAAAACCAGTCTCGTGTACTTTCTTGGAAATTTCTTCACGAATGAGGTCTGCACACAATGCAATTATTTCATTCTGAAAGTCTCGGCTTGTGCAGTTAAAATATTTGGACTGCATGGATTCGAAATCAGGGTCGTATTTTGAAAACAAATTACAAATACTTAAATAATTCCCCCTTGCTTCTGCATCAGTATCTTCACGATGTCCGCGGAAAGGGAGGCCTAATTTAGCAAGCAATTTTATAATATTAACGGATTTGTAGAGGTACTGTCTGTTTTTTTCTACTGTGCTTTGATGGCTGTGTGACAGCTGTGCTGCCACAGATCCCGATTCACCAGCCTGTTTGTAGCTCTCCCACATCGTCATGCTGTTTAAATGTACCTGTGACGAAGCGTGTTTTGTCAGCTTCTCTGACAGTTTTTTCCAGTTCCGAGCTCCCACTTTTGTAAATAGTTCGTCTGCGCCTGATCTTGCAATATTTGAAGAAAAGTGGCGACAGCAAAAACAAAAAACGGAATCCAGTGAAATTGAGTACTCCATCCATGGGAACTTGTGATAGTAAAATGTAGAGAAGGCACGATTAACATTTCCAATTAGGCGCTTAGGGAAAGAAGAAAGTATGGGCTGTTTCGGCCCAATAGCTTTTTCACCGAGGTCAACGTATCCAGATCCAGATGCGGCAGGTTGCGCGGGTAACGGTATCTCCGGTGACACGGTAGCGGTGCTGCTGGCTTTGTTCTCAGATGCGGCCTCGATTGCTGTGTCAGTAGCAGCAATGGAATTGATAGCTGAAGTGTCAGAGTTAGAAAACTCCACACTAGTGGGCTTATTAAAAAAACGACGAATGTCCATTTTGTTTATTTATCTGACTAAAGCGGGAACAGAACGAGAGTCCACTCACTTACCGCGATACTTTGAGATCCGCCAGTCGTGAGAAAATTAGCTTCTTTTTCAATACAGTAATTAAAAATAATTTAGCCTTAACTTACTCATTATACCCCCAAAAATGACAAGATAAGACAAATAAAATGAGAAAATATAAATTCAGTAATTTTTATTTATTTTTCAAAGCACAAGGCAGGCATAAATTGGCTCTGGTCTGGGGGGGCAGTGCCCCCCCTAGCCCCCCCCAAACTCCGCCTATGCTACTGTACCATGTAGTACAGGCATAATCGAAGACTGGCTGAATTAGAGCATTTGCTAACATTAGTAAAGTTTCTTTATTTAAAAAATGAGCCTTACGTGTCAGAAATTTAATTCTTTGGTTTACTTTTATAATAACTCTTTGACCCATACTTTCGGCACTCAAGGAACTATCTAAGTCACATCCTAAATATTTAACACAATTTTTAACTTCAATCTGGGTACCACCCACAGAAATGCTAAGCTCAGGAGTCCTACTCAACCTTATTTTTGAACCAAATAAGATAGATTCAGTTTTCCCTAAATGCAAAGACAGTTTATTCTCAATCAGCCATTCACTTATATTATTTAACTCATCACTTAAATGGTTCTCAATAACTTTTATATCCTTATGAGAGAACACCAAGGCTGAATCATCCGCATAGAGAAAGAGATTACAATTACAGACAGATTTCATATCATTTATATACAAAAGAAACAACAATGGACCCAGGACACTACCCTGTGGCACCCCACATGTTATTTCTCTAGCCTCAGACAGAGTGCTGTTAATATCAACTCTTTGATACCTCTCAGTCAAGTATGATCCAATCCATTCACATGCCATACTGTTAAACCCTAGAGCTTTTAGTTTAATCAGCAAAATCCGGTGGTCAACGGTGTCAAATGCTTTCTGGAGGTCTAACAATACCATGCCACAGAGTTTACCCAAGTCGATCTCTCTTCTTAAACAGTCTGTCAAATACAATAAACACGTATCCGTAGAATAAGATGTTCTGAAGCCAGATTGCAATTCATAAAGCAAATTATACTTAATAATATAATCATTTATTTGCTCTTGTATTATTCTCTCCAATATTTTTGATACAACTCCCAAAATCGAAACTGGTCTATAATTGCCCTCTTCTAATTTACTCCCTTTTTTATATAACGGAACAACCCTAGCAAGTTTCAGATCTTTTGGAACTCTACCTGACGAAATTGAAAGATTAAAAATATGAGTGAGATAAGGAGAAATATGTTCTGCAGCATCTTTTAAAAATCTGGCAGGTATTTCATCTAGACCAATTGCCTTCGAACACTTAAGTTCATTT